GGTGATTGTAGAGTTGTAGGAATTTGTCCATGTCCTCCAGATTGTTGAACTTGTTTCCATATAACTGTTCATAGTAGTTATTGATTATTCTTTTGATTTCTGCTGTGTCCGTTGTGATTTCTCGTCTTTCATTTATGATCCTGTTTATTTGTGCTTTCTCCCTTTTTTCCCTTGTGAGCCTGGCTAGGGGTTTGTCAATTTTATTTATTTTTTCAAAGAACCAGCTCTTGGTTTCATTGATCTTTTGTATTGTTTTTTTAATTTCGATTTCATTTATTTCTGCTTTGGTTTTTAATTATTTCTTTTCTTCTACTGGTTTTGGGTTTTTTTTGTTGTTGTTGTTGTTCTTTTTCTAGATCTTTGAGCTTTGAGATTAGGTTGTTTCTTTGAGTTCTTTCTTGTTTCTTGATGTGAGCCTCTATTGCTATATGTTTTCCTCTTATTTCTGCTTTTGCTGCATCCCATACATTTAGGAAATTGGTGTCCTCCTTGTCATTCAATTCAAAGAATTTTTTAATTTCTTCTTTGATCTCCTCGTTAGTCCAGTGGACTTCCAGTAGTTTGGGTTTGCAATCTCCATGAGGGTAGGAGAGTACCTTGCCTTCTTTTTATGGTTTATTTTCGTTTGATGCCTTCATGGTCAGAAAAAGATGGTTGGTATGATTTCAATCATTGGTGTATCTGTTGATGTTTGTCTTGTGCCCCAGTATGTGATCGATCCTGGAGAATGATCCGTGTGCGCTTGAGAAAAATGTGTACTCAGATTTGTTTGGGTTTAGTGTTCTATGGATGTCTGTTAAGCCCATTAGCTCTAGGTCCTTATTTAGAGCTTTAGTGTCTTTACTTTTTTTGTCTCGTTGATGTATCCATTGTTGATAGTGGTGTGTTGAAGTCTCCCACTACGTATGTGTTTTCTCTGATGTCTGTTCTCAGAGATGCCAATAGTTGTCTGATATATTTTGGTGCTCCTTCGTTTGGTGAGTATATGTTAATGAGTGTTATTTCTTCTTGAAGTATTGCCCTCTTGATCATAATGTAGTGACCGTTGGGGTCTCTTTTTATCTTTTTGAGTTTGAAATCTGTTTTATCTGATATGAGTATAGCTGTTCCTGCTTTCTTTTTTGGTCCATTGCTTGTAGAATTGTTTTCCATCCTTTAACTTTGAGCTGTTTTTTATCTTTTGCAGCTAAATGTGTTTCCTGGAGACAGCAAAAGGTTGGGTTTTGTTTCTTAATCCAGGCTGCAACTCTGTGTTTAGTCCATTTATATTTAGAGTTAATACTGATATGTTAGCATCTGTAGTTGCCATTGTGTTTGTCTTTCCTTTGATTTTATTTATTTATTCTTTTAATAACTTTTTTTTTTTTTTTTTTTTTTTTTTTTTTTTTGTCTTCTTTGTTGTTATTTGTCCCTCTGCGGTTCTGGCTTTAGGACTCCTTGTAGTATTTTGGAGTGGGGGTTTAGTCGTAATGAAATTCGGGAGTTTTCTGTTTTTCTGGGGAGGTCCTTATTCTTTCTTCATAGAGGAAGGCGAGCTTTGCGGGATAGAGTATTCTTGGTTGGCATCTGTTTTCTTGGAGTCTGTTGACTATGTCCCTCCACTCTCACCTTGCCCGTAGTGTTTCTTCGGAGAAGTCTGATGTCAGTCTGATTGGTTTTCCTTTGAATGTTATCTGTTTCTTTCCTCTTTCAGTTTCATTATTTTTTCCTTGTCTTGGATTCTTGGGAGCTTTCCTATTTACTATTTACTATGTGTGTTGCTTTATTTTTCCTTTCGTCATGGAAGTTTGGTGTTCTTCTTGCTTCTTGCATATCAATTTTCAACTCCTTCACATTTGGGAAGTTCTCTTCAGTTATATCCATGAATATTTTTTCTGTTCCACATCTCTCTCCTCTCCTTCTGGGATTCCTATAACTCTTATATTTCCTTTCCTCACAGAGTCAGATAGTTCCCGAAGTCTTTCTTCGTTCTTTTTCCTTCGTACTAGATGAAGAATTTTAAAGCAGTGTTAATCAGGTTTTTTGGTTTAATGGTCAGTAATTTTCTTGTAGTTTCAATACTACTATAATTGGAATTTATTAAGGAGCACACCTTGATTTTATTTTTTTTTTGTTTTGTTTTGTTTGTTTTAAAGATTTATTTTTATTTATGCACACAAGAGCTGTGGTACAGGCCAGAGGTGTGGAGGGTGAGAGAATTCAGCAGACACAGAGTGGGGGACAGAACAGGCAGGTTGACCGAAGTACACTGCTGAGGGTAGCAACAGGGCAAGTCAGGAGAGGTCTGCTGCACCATGTGGGTTGCTCCCTGGCCGGGCATTGAACTCATGCTGCAGTGGCTGCCAATAGCTTCATACATTATGTCTTAACCCCTTGCACCACCAGCGAGGCCCACTCCTTGCATTTTTAAAAACAATTTGAGAACTATGGATATTATTATAAAGGTTTACTAAAATCGATATTAAAAACCATTAGGTTCGGGTCTCCCTGGTGGTGGTGGTTGAGTGCTGGGTTGCGAGGCTGCCCGCAGCCTCTGCAGCGCTGGTTCGAACCCCGGCTGCTCCCTGGTCACCGGAGGAGGGTCCCACATGTCGCACAGACCTCTCCTGCTGCCTGCTGCTCCCCTCAGCAGTGCACTTCGGTCCTCCTGCCTGCTCTGCTCCCTGCTCTGGCTCTGGTGAATTCTCTCACCCTCCCGCACTTCTGACTGTACCC